CGTTGATCAGAAAATTAACAAAAAAATCAAAAAATCTAAACTTAATTTTCGATTAAAACTTTTACCGTTAATTTTAACAGTGCCTTAAACTAAGTAAAAAATTTTTCTTTCTCTCTCTCTCAACTCAGAGTCGTATGACTTGAAGTTCAAGGACAACGAATATTGGCCAGATTCGGCCATCGGTGGTTTCCCTGCGTTGCCCGAGTTCAGTATCTGCATTTGGTTCAACCTCGATGGAGCTAAACCAAAGCAAAGAAATTTGGGTCCTATGAAGATTTTAGATTACGTGAACAGTGCAGACATCATCAAGTCCTTTCCAATCTTTTATATTGAATCGTCAATTAATGAAGGTGACACACAAGGGTACATTTCTTTCATGAGCGAGTAAGTAATATATAATACGATCATTACAATCTGGCATGCCATAAAAGATAATGTGTCAATCAAAAAAGCCAATAAATTGCACTTACGATAAATTTAACAAATATTTATTTAAAAAATTACCACAAATGTCTTGTTTCTTATATTGGTGATGGTTGTTTCTAGAGTTTCTATAAATCGGTGCCTCTATTTTGGACCGGCACCCTTTTTTAAGCGCGGACATCGTTTATCAAGCTGACACTGGCTCGTGTCCCGAAAATGTCTTCCTATTTTTTACTGTAAAATGAACCTTTATTCCTGCATTTACTTGATATTTATTTAATGATATTTCCTCAGGAGACGCGGAGCATCGTTATACTTTGACAAAGGCAACAAATGGCATCACTTTTGCCTTACACGAAACAGCATCACAGGAGAAACCACCCTCTTTCTTGACGGCGAGAATAAACTCACTGACGTATATTCGGAAGGCCTGACTCCTTCATCAGAGGGAAGGATGCGTATTGGAGGATTTGCAAGAACAAATTTTGAAGGAAAGATATCAGGTCTCAACATTTGGAACAGAGTCTTATCAGATGAAGAGGTTCATAAAATGGCTCAGTCTTGTGATGATAGCTCAGGGAGTTTTAAAGATTGGTACGACATCAAAAGTGAATTGACCATGAAAAAATACATACTCCACGAACCTTCGAGGTGCATGGCATAGGAAGAAGAAACGCCTAAAAGCAACAGCTAAATTAATAAAATGTTGAAAAATATGTTGAGACTTTTGCTCATTAAAAACGAAAACTAAATTGTGTGGTTTGAAGTCTTGTATCTTAACAATGATTGAGGAAAAAACTGGGTAGATTTGGCTTTGCAGTGCATTCAGTGTGGGGCTGCTTTAAGGAACATATTTCCAAAATGGCGTCATTTTCATCGCCTAAAACAGCCTCGAAATGCCCTGCAATGCATTATTTTCTCAACCTCGTAATTTCTAATACTTATGGATTATAACCCAGTTTGATTGCAAGTTAGTTAAAATGTGATTTTAACAAAGTATGATTCAGGACTATTATTGTTTTGTTGTTGTTAAACGGTATGGGAGAATCCACTAAACATATAAAGAAATAAAGTCAGCGTCAGACGCGGATCCAGAAAATTACAATCGTGAGTTAGAATAAAGGGATGTTCGAAATGAATGCGACGATATAGTGACGTAATTAATAATCCTTATCTGACTTATGTAATTTTACTTATTTTATTTATTTTTAGAAATACATGTATTCTTTTTCAAACTAATGTTGAGTCGGACTAAAGATTCGAGAAACCGAAATCATGATCATGAATAAAAAGACGACATATTAGATAGTATATGTACCGAAAATAAGACAGACGTCTTGGGGGGTGTCCATTGCACCTAGTGACACCCCCTGAATCCGCCCCTGATTATCGGGGATGTATGGTATACTATCTTGTTACTACAAATGATCGTATTTGGTGACGCAACGTTTTAATTATCCATCTAATTCATTCATTCATCCATTCGTTCATCCATCC